ACCAAGGACTGTGATGGAGAAAGCTACCCTGCCCCTTTCTCTCTACTTCCCTTTCACTCTGCAAGTAAAACAAAACAAAGTCCTCTTCAGCAAGAATGAAGGCATAAGAAACTTCACAGCAAGATCTCTTTAGGTTTCTCAAAGGCCAAGTCCAGTGAGGCTTCCAGAGGGGAAGAGAGTCAGGTATTCTGCAGGAATGGAGAGAGCAGAATGGAAAATAGCATTTAGGAAGGAATGTTGATGGTCTACTTTCTCATGGACCCTAAGTCTTTTTTTCCCACTACTGGGGATTGATGCTAGGCAAGTGATGTACCAGAGCTACATCTCCACTGCCCCCTTTGATTTTCAGACAGGGTCTTGCTAAGTTGCTGAGGCCAGACTCAAACTTGTGATGTTTCTGCCTCAGGAGTCTCAGACCAGCAAAAAAGATCTGAGAGAAAAATAGGTCTCAAGCATGGAAGTAAAGATAAAAGTAAAGCTGTAGGCCCTGTTATGGTTTGGATATGAAGTGTCCCCCAAAAGCTCCCATGCGAGACAATGAGAGAGTTCATAGGGGAAATGATTTGGGTTATGAGAGCCTTAACCCAAGCAGTGAATTGATCCCCTGATGAGATTAATTGAGTAGAAAATTGGAGGAAGGTGGGGTGTGGCTGGAGGAGGTGGGACATTGGGGTCCTGGCTCTGGGTATATATTTGTATTTGGCAAGTGGAGACTCTCTATTTTCTCTCTCTGCTTCCTGCTCATCATGTAAGCTGCTTGCCTTTGCCACACTCTTCTGCCATGATGTTCAGCCTTATCTCGAGCCACAAGGAATGGAGTCTGCTGTCTATGGACTGAGACCTCTGAAACCATGAGACACCAAATAAACTTTTCTTCCTCTAAAACTGTTCTGGTCAGGTCTTTTAGTCACAGCAGCCCCTTGCTTTTAAGCTATCTTGGCTTGTCTTGAGCCACTTGTTTCAAGTAGCAATGTCTGGTAGTCAGGGAGTACACAGGGATACCACCAAGTGCATTTTGGGGCAATCTGCTTCAAGGAGCAGAGCCAGAAGTTGAGAGTAGGTGGCAAAAACCTAAAAGGCACAAGACTGATGTATCCTTGGCCTGGAAATGAGACACAAATAAACTTCACAATGCCCACCTGTCCTATTGCTGCTAATTCTATCCCTTCCTTCTCTTATTTGAAGATACTATAGGATATCATAGATGCCCCTGGTAACATGTTATCAGGTGATGGGGGGATGAGGTACTTTGACATCCCTAGAGAGGGTTCTGAAGACACATGCTGTCCTCAAACCTCTTTGGTCATGTTATGCACAGGTTTCAAAAGGCTTTCTCATGGGCAATTAAAATGAATGTTCTGTAAAGACAAGAGAGGGTGTTTGAGGCTCCAGGAAGACAATCAACAGAAGCTTTTAATGACTGGAGGAATAGATGAAAGCCACAGTCGGAGGCTGACTCCATTTCCTGACCTGATGTAATGGCTATTTTTCCACACAGAAAATCTAGTGTCCCATTATTCTCTGGTGAAACCACACCTCCACATAAGAAGCGGTGGTTTGAGTGGTGGGCCCTAGGTCAGAAGTACAAAACTTATCTTCTCTGTGTCTCAATTTTAAAAAGCTTTTTTTTTTTCTATTGGGGAGGAGCCAACCTCACTGGTTGAGGCTGGGAGATTGAAAGTTTGAGGCCAACATGGACAAGTTAAAAAGACCCTGTCTCAATAATAAAATGTGTGTATAATTATGTAACAATCAATCCCACTATTATGTGTAATTATAATGCACTAATAAAAATTTAAAAAGTAAAAAGTGTTGGGGATGTAGCTCACAGGTAGAACTCCTTGCCTCCCTCCTCCTGCCCTGGGTCAAAGCCCAGTACCAGGAAAAAATAAAAAATCAGGGCAATAGGAGAGACAAATATTTCTTTTTTGGCATTTCAGGCTTTTATAATTCTAATAACTCTCAGGTCTAACATGCTATTAATAGACAAATTAACATTTGTAGCAGAAAACACTTGGTATCCAAATCTGGGAAGAAAACTTAAATTTAGCAGTCCCCTTTTGAGATGAAACAGATCTTCCATAGAAGCATCAGTTTTGGGAGTTGTCAAGTTTAGCCTTGGTCCAGGAAATCTCTTATTCTCTGGTTCTGGAGATGGGGGAGGTAAAGGGGGTGTGAAACAGAACCTAGTGGTGCCTTCTGCTCAGAGGCAATCATATGTCATCCAGGTAATTTCCTGTGAACTGTACTTGCCTGCATCAAAGTTCAGCTTTGGTGCTGTCACCTCCTCATGCCCCACAGTCTGCTCCTGCCACTGTTTTGCAGTCAGGAACCCATCACTGCTGGGCATGGCTTGGGAGACAGAGGCAGTAGAATTTAGAGTTCAAAGCCAGCCTCAGCAACTAAGCAAGGTCCTAAGCAACTATCTCTAAAGACCTGTCTCAAAAATATAAAAAAAAGGCTGGGAATGTGGCTCAGTAGCTAAGCCTCCCTGGGTTCAATCCCAGGTACTCCCCCCCCCAAAAAAAAAAAAAACTCACTATGCAACACACTTTGGTTTCTCCCACTGTAGAAAATGGATGATTATGGCACTTTGTTGAGTGTCACAGGGAACTGAATACTGGCCTTCCCCCAGGCATAAGGATCAATGTTGGAGGTCCTTGAGGGCTTTTTTGCAGCACTGGAGTTTGAACCCAGGGACACTCTTACCACTGAGGTACATTCCTAGCACTTTATTGAGAAAGAGTCTCACTTAATTGCAGAGGCTGACCTTGAACTTGTGACCCTTTCTCAGTTGGAAGTAGCTGGGATTACAAACCTGTGAAAACACACTACTCTGCAGAGGGCTTTATTTTTGGGGAGAGGGGTACCAGGGATCAAATCCAGGGGCACTTAACCATTGGGCAACAACCCCAGACCTTTTTGAGTCAGGATCTCTCTAAATTGCTTAGGGTCTTCTAAATTGCTGAAGCTGGCTTTGAACTCACGATCCTCCAGCTCCAGCCTCCCGAGCTGCTGGGATTATAGGCATGCACCAATGTGCCCACCTAGGGCTTTTTTTTGTTTTGGTGGTGGTGGTGCTGGGGATTGAACCCAGGGCCAGGGCCTTGTGCATGTGAGGCAAGCACTCTACCAACTGAGCTATATCCCCAGCCCTAGGGCCTTTCTTAAATGACCTCAAAATCTCAACCCAGGAAATGAATTAATCAAAGGGATTTACAGAAGTCTTACATCAAAATAGTTACCCCTTATCTGCAGTTCCACTTTTCATGGCTTGCTGCTCAGTCAACTGCAGGCTAAAAATATTAAATGGAAAATTGCAGAAATAAAACAATTCATAAATTGCATGCTATTCTGAATAGCATGGTGAAATCTCATGCTGTTTCACTGTCACACTCTGTGTGGGACATAAATCATTTGTTCAGCATATCCATCCTGTATATGCTGCGAGCCTTGGTCATCAAATCGGTATCCAGTATCACACAGTACTTGTGTTCAAGTTTTACTTTATAATGGCCCCAAAGGCCAGACATGGTGGCACACATCTGTAATCTTGGTGACACAGGATCACATGTTCAAGGTCAACTTCAGTAACTTGATGAGACCCTCTCAAAAAAGGGAGGGGCTGGGATGAAAGCACCCCTGGGTTCAAGCCCCAGTATCACAAAATAGGGGTGTTGGTTATTTGTCCTTGGGGCCCTTCTTTCAGGCCCTCTGTTGAGTACAAGGGTTCCATCTGTACAAGGCTGTCCCTGCCCACCAATGTGGAAAAAGAACATTAATCAGCACAGCCTTCCAACTGATTTTTTTTTTTTTAGGGGCAGGGGATACCAGGGATTAAACTCAAGGGCACTTGACCACAGAGCCACATCCCCAGCCCTATTTTTTGTATTTTATTTAGTGACAGGGTCTCTAAATTAAAAAAAAAAAAATACACACACACACACACACACACACACATCCGCAAAGCAAAACAGTAGTGATGCTGGCAATTTTATTACAGTATAGTTATAATTTTCTATTTACCAGTTGATGTTCTTACAATTCCTAATTTGTAGATGAAACTTTATCACAGGTATGCATGCATAGGAAAAAACTGTGTGTGTTGTATACATTTTTATAATTTATTTCAGTACTAGGCATGGTTTTAGGTACCCTCGGGGAGTGGGGGTGAGGAGGTTAGATCATTATCTGTGGAGAGGTAGGGAACTACTATATTCTAAGATGGTAAATCCAGACCAATTCATCCAATACTTCCAAGAAATAACATCACCAGCAATTGAAGCCATCAATGCTTCATCTCAGCTTTTTCCAGAGCAAACATTTGAGACTGAAGTGGGCAAGGGAATCATAGTCCCTTCAGTCCCTCAAATTGTAGAAAGAGAAGCTAGTTGTAATGTTGATATGCAACAAAAGGAAAAACATAATAAATAAAAGCAGGCCCAAGCTTCAAAAAAAATCAAGGCTTCCACCAAGCTCCAGAATCATAGTGCTTCACAAAAGAAAAGAGCACCCTTAATTGATGATACACAAGGAAATGAACTTAAAATTCTGGAATGCATAATGCATTCTTAAATTTTGCACACTTACCTTCTCAAAACAGTTTTTATTTAAAAGGGCTGAAATTAAATGCCAAACATCTGTCACCACTGATGAATAGAGGGAAATTACCACATTTGGCAAAATTGGTTCAAAATGAATAAATCATAAAACACTCCTCCTATAAGCAAATACCTAATTTGGGTCCCCAGAATAAGAACCAGAGATCCAGCAGTGTAATTCAGGTTCACTACACAAAATTAGACTCTAGTTCTCAGAAAGCTCTGAATATCTTAAAAAGTCTTACAGTTTAATAAAGCTGTTGCCTTGTTTTCTCTTGGCTTAAAACAAGGTAGCAAAAATAGTTGGGAAACAAAGAAACAGGAGCTATCACTGGACGCAAGACATCTAAATCAAACCATCAGCAGAGAATCATGACAGAAGATAAAGACCCCAAAAAATCACACACATAGACACTTTATTAGTTTCTTCTACAAGAGACAATTAACATCAAACTTTTAACAGAAATGTCAGGTCATTGGAGAGGCCAAACAGATTCCAGGAAGAAAGATGAAAATTAAATACTTAAATTAAAAGGCACTAGTATACCACCTAAAATCCACAACCACGGTGGAAGTAGGCTAAGGAAGGTTAAGCTACAGCAAAATATCTAATGTGAATGTTAGCAATTACACAGCAGGAAGCAAGTCTGTGTTCTAGAAGACTATGATACAATGATTGTTTGGGCCCAAGAGGATATCTGGCCAGGAAAAGGTCAAAATGGCTGAAGTTGTAAAGCCATAGAAAGGAATAGGTACAAAGGGAATACAAGCTACATGGTCAAGCAGATGACAATGAATCAGGCTTCTTCCTCCCAAGAAACATTTGCTGCACTGTGCTACCCCCTACCCCCTCAGGATGCCACCCAACAGTTTTTTCAGGCTGAGTTGCCTGCTCCTGCCTTAACAGGGTGCTTGCTCAGGAGAATAGGTCTGGGGGCTGCCGAAAGCTCTTGTTCTTGATTTAGCATAGATCTTGGAGAAACTTGTCACACATGGGCTGCTTTGTGGCTAGTTGTTCCGATAAAGAAAAATCCCCAAAGTATTCACATGCAAAGTCTGAGCTTCCCCAACCATCTAAACAGCCTTATTCAACACCCTCAGAAGTCTGAGATCTTGAAGCAGCTGAACTCTAGTTAAAGCTGCAAGGTTCACAAAATCATTAAGGAAGCCAGAATGAGACAATGCAGTTAAGAAATCCCAGCAATTAATCTCAATCTGTCTTCCCCCAATTTACAATAAACCCTCATTTACATGATGTGGGATGTAGAAAGCTATACTGGAGCAAGCTGGGTCTTCTGCTGAATTTGTCATGAAATACTAAGGGAAACAAGGGGTAGGGTTGATTTTATTTTTAAAAAAGCCTCAAGTTATTCTATTATAAAGGAACATGACTGAATAGGTAGGAAACAGATTCCCCATTATGAGTTCTCCTGATGGCTTCCGCAAGGATCATAGAGATGTCAATCACCT